CTGTGAGGTGCTTACTACCAAGCCTGTGAGGTGCTTACTACCAAGCCTGTAAGGTACTTACTACCAAGCCTGTGAGGTGCTCGCCACCAAGCCTGACAATCTGAGTTCCATCCTTGGAACCCATGGTGGAGGGAGAACTAGCTCCTCTAAGTTGTCCTCTGACCTCCACATGCATGCCATGGCATGGTGGTGCTGTGTACGCATGTGGGGGGTGGGTATGTGTAGACACACGTGCTGCAGCATGCGTGCTGTGGTCAGAGGACAACTTTGTGGAGTTGTTTCTCTCGTTCCACATTCATACGGGTCTCAGGATTTGGACTCAGGCTTGTGTACCACACTTCTCCTGAGCCCTCTCACTGGCCCTGAACGTCGTCATTCCTCTGGCCAGAATTTTAAGAGTTCTTTTTTGGTCTTGTCAATAAGTAGCTTCAAATATTTCAAAGAGCAAGCAGGAGAGTTGGGGTTTGGGAGCTTAGGGATTTGGGGGAGGGAATTTCTTCATTGAAACAGTACCCTATTTTGTAGCTCAGTTTGACTTGGGACCCACTGTGTAGCCCAGGCTGGCCTCACACTTGGCCATCCTTTTGCCCCAGCCTGTCTGTAATTACGCCTGGGTGGACTGGTTTTGATGGTTTGCACAAAGATGCAGTTAGCTTGTTGGTCGCCCACCCCGGGAACACGCTCTCGGCAGCTGCAATGTAGGGGCGGGGTCCGGGACGGCTGCCGTGTGGGGAGAGAAGGAAGTCCACACCTGGAATTAGAAAAGGTGGTTTCACGTGTTGACTGCCGCTCATGACCTGACCAAATCGCCTGTTGTCTCAGAGACCCAGTTCCCGTCTCCCCCGGAGGCAGGGCCCGGCTGCTGTGCAGAGCAGGTGGGGGGGGCCCAGATGGGTTGAGGCTCCTCCCCGGGACCTGCCACAGCCAGTGCGTGTTTTTCCCTCCAGTTCTTTGACCGCCTGAAGCTTTTCGGGATGCCTGCAAAGCACCAACCAGATTTCATCTACCTGCGCCATGTGCCGCTGCGCAAAGTACACCTCTTCACCCTCATCCAGCTCACCTGCCTCGTCCTGCTCTGGGTTATCAAGGCATCGCCAGCTGCCATTGTTTTCCCAATGATGGTAAGTCCATCGTCCCTCCCCGCCGCCACACACACACACAGGGTTTCTCTGTGTAGCCCTGGCTGTCCTAGAACTCACTCTGTAGCCCAGGCTGGCCTCGAACTCACAGAGATCCGCCTGCCCCTGCCTCCTGAGTACTGGGATTAAAGGCATGTGCCACCACCCCCCATCCTGTGTTCACCATTTTTAAGGGTAGGGGTCAGTGGGATCAAGAACACTGTTGAGGTACCAGCGTCACTATCCGTCTCTAGACCTTCATCTTGCAACACAAACTCCAGACTCATTCAACCGCCACGCCTCATTCTCCTTCCCGAAAACCCGCGGGCACCCACAGCGCTGCTCTCCACCTCCGGGACTTCTGCCACCCTAGCTGATCACGTGACATTGTCATTTCCCTGTTGTCCATGTTGTCCCCTGGGTCAGAATTTCCTGAAGTTTGAATAATGCACGCCCTGTGCATTTCTGTTACAGATTAAATGTCAGTTCCTGGGGAACTGGTGCCTCCCTGACCTCCATGGGCACCAGGCATTCACATAGTACACATGCATACATAAATACATAACACACATAAAAACATATTTTAAAAATACATAAAATTTTAAAAGAAATTATATAAAAAGTCTCATGCCGGTGGCCCACAGTGCGTGACCGCTGCTCTGGTCATCCAGTTCTGCTTGAGATGCCCTAGAGCCCTGGGAACGTCCAGAGAAACTCCCGTTACTTGGTTCCTTCTTGTCAGGTCCTGGCCTTGGTCTTCGTCAGGAAAGTCATGGATCTCTGCTTCTCCAAGCGTGAGCTGAGCTGGCTGGATGACCTCATGCCTGAAAGCAAAAAGAAGAAGCTGGATGACGCCAAAAAGAAGGCTAAGGAGGAGGAGGTAGAGCCTTGCATTTCAGGGCCTGAAGAGGGAGGGAGAGAGGGCCATGTGTGGGGCAGCGTGTTGGGATCCTGAGGGTTACACTGAGGGGCTGAGTGTTACTCCAAGGTGTCCTCAGCTGCCGAAGGGTTAAGGGGTCCTGGCCCTGTCTGCCCATCACGTTTCGGAGTTGGTAACTAGTCCTTTCCCCCTTGGATTTTACCCCAGGATCATACTAGAATATGGAGGTGCACTCTGTGATTCTCAGATCCAGTGGCTCCTTTTCTCCAGATCTGACTTGACAAGTGTGTAGAACCCATATTTCTGAGAGTACTGGCTACACTGTGCTGTGGTTGGCACCATGCAAACACAGCTTGTGAGGACTTTCTGTCCTTCATGGCCCTCAGCAGTTGGCACAGTGGACCATGAGCCGTGGCCTAAACACGCACAGAAAGGATGTGTGGCAAGACAGAAACACCAGGCCAAGAAATGAAGGGCCTGAGAGTGTCCCAAAGTGTCCTTCCAGCTGTCTGTCGCTCGTCTATCTACACATTTATACGTGCACACATACGTATATGTATGCACACACACACGCACACGCACACGGTTTTCCTGCTGTCAGCTCTGACCTGGAGATGCCCAGTCTGTCACTCAGCAGACATTGCTGTCTTTTTCAACTATGTTTTAAAATAAAATTTTCTAATGTCTAATGTCTTGAATTTTAAAAAATCTTATATTGTTAGATAAACTGAATTTTTAGATACAAAAGCAATAAAAAACAAAGCAGAAGTGCGTTCCTCCTGCCTGTTGTGGCTGGGAATGTTTTTTTTTTTTGTTTTTTTCACTTGTCAAAATGACAACAAAGTAAACGGATAGGGACTACCCCTCCAGCACTGTGTTTGGAACGGGCCGCGCATACACTGACGTGCCAGTATGAACGGGAGACACAGAGTCTTAAATGACATCTGCAGAGCTGGAGTGATGCTCATGGTTTATACACTGGCTGCTTCTCCAGCGGATCCAAGTTTGGCTCCCAGCACAAGTGACAGCTCCCTCACCTGTAACTTCAGGTCCAGGGACACAACACCCTCTTGGCACCAGGCAACCACATGATATAAATATGTACATGTAGGCAAAACACACACACACACACACACACACACACACACACACACACCAAAACACACACACACACACACACACACACACACACACACACACACACACATGGCATACACACATGGTATGCATGTACAAGGGCACTCATGAACACACACACAAATGCATATATATATCTCTTAAGCTAGATACTGTAGCATATACTTACATTCCCAACACTTGGGAGACTGAGGCAGGGGGACAGCTTGAACCGAGGAGTTCAGCCTGGTCAACACAAGACTTTGTATCAGAAAGAAAAATGTTTATGCCGTTTGATCCAGGAACTCATCCTGAGAATAGTCAAGCAATACAGAAAAAAATATTTTACTCATGTTTCTGTGAAATAATTCACCTAGCAAGATGGCTCCACAGGGAGAGGTGCCCATTGCCAAGCCTAGTAGACCTGAGTTCAGTCCTGGGGACACACATAGTGCAGGAAAGAACTGACTCCCAGAAGTTGTCCTCAGCGCCCACATGCACAGCCTCACAGTCAGCCTCCCACTCACAGATAGATAGATAGATAGATAGATAGATAGATAAAGGTTTTAAATAAGTGTGATTATTAGCACAAAAAAGAAAATTAAGTTATAACTGAATAGTGTTCAATATAGTGTTATACACTGAATTATTAAAATTTAAACTTCTTTTGTTAAAATGTTTAGTTCTTTTAAATTTTATTATTGTTGTACTTGAAGCATGTTTGTAGATAATTTTTCCCTCTATAATTACTCCTTTAAGTGAGTAGCATTATTATTTTTACTTTACTGGTAGGATAGGGTCTCACTGTATAGTCCAGGCTGGACTCAAACTCCGAATCTTTTTGTGTTGGCATAATTTTTAAGAAAATATTTTAATGTGGAACATTTCAATATATGCCTCCCTAGCAGGGTTACAGGGACGCTGCCATGCTCGGTTTTGTGTATGGGGCCTGGTGATCCGAACTCAGGTCCTCAGGCTGACGCCACAGACACTTCACACCTCCGCCATCTTCCCAGACTCCCCCTTACTATTTAACAGCTTGTGTATTTGGATCAGGATCTAACAAAGGACCATGCATTATAATTGGCTGATTTCCACATCATGTCACTTTAGGGCTCTCCTTTTTCTTTTTGTTGGGAAACTGGGTCTTTGACCGCAGGACGTCTCTCTCATCAGGCAGTTCGTTGGTAACACTGACATGTTCTTCTGTGCCCTGTGTCCCTAGTAATTGGTCATTGGCTCTAGCAGTGGTTTTCAACTTTCTTAATGCTGCGACCCTTTAGTACAGTTCCTCATGTCGTGGGTGCCCCCCAACCACAAAACTATTTCATTGCTACTTCATAACTGTAATTTTGCTACTGCTATGATCCTAAATATCTGATATGCACCCCCAAAGGGGTCATGGCCCACAGGTTGAGAACCACTGCTGCAGAGGCTTACATTCAGGTTATTATTGTTTTCAGTACTGTTCTGTATGCACGGTTATTTGCTTGCCTCACTCTTGCAAGGAGTCAGACCCGTAGAAGGACCTAACTCTATGAATGTGAGGGAAACTGTGAAAATGGGCTGGGGCAGGCTCTTGATCCTCTTGGTCCAAGATATAATTGTAAGCTAGGGCTCAGTAAAGAAACCACCAAAATGGCTACTCCATGGCTAAGGGGAAGGTTTTATTGTAGGTAAAAGGGAGACAAAACATTCAGAGGCATCTCGAAGAGTCCAGAGCAGAGAGAAAAAGAAGCATCCTGGATATAACTGGGCTGTCTGTGAATGGCGCGTGTTGATCACACACACACACACACACACACACACACACACACACACACACACACACACACACACACAAATGAATGACAGGAAAACCTTGCTGTTACATAGAGCAGGTCTCCAGGAGTCAGGAAGCCTATGAACTACCACAGTGTGGGAGCTAGCAACCATGGGTAACCAGCTGGCAGTGGCCCTTTCTGGCAGGCAGAAACCCATTTCACGGGTTCCTGAGAAATGATGGCCGTAGGCTTTTAGCAGTCCTGTAGTCCAGCTTGAGCTGAGCTGAGACTCATTCTTGGCCATATGCTCTACTTTTTGGAGTTTGGAGAGTAGGGGCTTCCTTTAGACCTGACAATATTAAGGTTCCTTTTTTCCCTCCAGGAGGCTGAGAAGATGTTGGACATAGGGGGTGATAAGTTCCCCCTCGAAAGCAGGAAGTTGCTGAATAGTCCTGGCAAGAGCATCAGCTTCAGGTAAGCCCCCAAATACCACAGAGCTCTGAGGAGCCGCCATGCAGCCGGCCATTCCACTGAACACCTGCTGCGCACCCTGCCTCATAGGGCTGGGAGTCACAGGAAGAGAGGCGGAGCCAGTGTCCCAATGCCTTCTGGGGCGGGGGGGGGGGGGTTTACAGCGGTCCTCAGAGGCTCATTAGCTACTTTGTATGAGTGAGGAAGCTGATGAGACATTGTTCCAGGGTTACATACAGTGCTGCTCACACAGGTCAGGATTTAGACGGGACCTCTCAGCGCTTCCCCAAGGTCAGTAGTGTGTGTCCTCAGCCCGGTGGGTATGTCGTGCCTGCCTTTGGGGACAGGCAGAGACAGCCCACTGCAGTGTGGCTTATGGCATATTTAGTCCAGGGAGCCGGGGGACACTGATCTCAAAGCCTAGGCAAGGCTGTGCTGGTGTCTCAGCCCTTTCTCTACCAGGCCATTTGCTCTCCACAAAGCACAGGGTCCCAAATGCCCGGAATGTGGGGTCACACCTGACATCTGTGTCTGTTTGGAAGCAGCTTACCCAGGCCGAAGAAGCCTGGAGATAAGGACAGCTAGAGAAGGAAGAAAGACTGGTGTGCCACATCTAGATCCCAGGGAATCATTAGCTGCTACATGATTAGACTGGCTGTGGTTTATACTGCAGATAAATCAGGAAATCTTTTCTTTGGTCCCTAAGAAGGTGTCTCTGTGCTGTTATGGAAGAGACCATAGGCTTTGATGTCTCTGGCAGTGAAGCAGGATCAGTGCTCCTCTCCCTGTGGGATGCTGTCTCTTCTCTGTGCATTTCAGGAGATCGTCCCCCATGGGTGGCTCTGGAGTAGTCGGGTTTCCAAGGACCCAGGACTGTGTTTAGAGTCTTGATTCTGTGCTGTTGTGTAACTTTGGATGGGCACTTAGCCCTGAAACCTTTGGGTTTACACCTTCAAAATGAGGATTATGACTGATCTCTGTTGCTATGATTGTTAAGTTCATAGAGTATGAAAGTCTTTTGTAAACTATAAACGGAAGAGATTCTGTTATGTAAATGAGGATGAACCAGAGTGCCATGCAGCAGCAGTTAGGAGTGGTGTCACGTCCTCTGTGAACTCTTTTAAAGCACCAACCGCCACCTGGGCATCAGCGGCCTGCAGCCCTACACATAGCCTCTCTTTATGCCCTGGCCTCTCAGACTCCTCTCCCTTCTCACGGGGTGGTGGTCACGGTAAACTGGGGTGTGTCCTTTACTTACATATTTGATATTCACTGCCTAAGCTTTGATTTCAGATGTGACCCCTCTGAGATTAATATATCCGATGAAATGCCTAAAACCACGGTCTGGAAGGCTCTCAGTATAAATTCTGGAAATACAAAGGAAAAAAGGTAAAGCGAATTCTAACTTCCCATTTTTATTTACTTCTGGTTTTGGAATGGCAATAATGTTAAAGGTAAGATGTACATTACTTACAGGATTGAATTTGCCTAGTAAATAACAAAACTCTTTCTGCTAACTGTACAGTAAGACAAATAAAAATAAAAAGTTTCCAAATATTTGAAAAGGCAGGTTGTTCTGAACTGCCCATTTACTTCAGTCCCAAGGGCAGGCTGTAATTATTTTGGAATGTAAATTTGCTTTATCTGCTTAGTTTCTTTAATCTACTTGGAGAAAGTTTCTCATTTTAGAATCTGAAGGTTGTCTCTGGTTACTGCAACCACACAAACTGGAAAATTGCTAAAAGCCTGGATCAATACCATTAGCACTAATAAATAATATGATAGTATTGGCTCCGGCTTTAACCCACTTAACTTAGGTTCTAAAATGAGAATTTTGCTAAACATAACAGTTTTCTTATTCTGCAAAGAAATTTCTCTGTATCATTTAATAGTAACATAGATCAGTTTTAATCAGAAAGGATTGGAGGCATCTTTGCCTGCATTAAGGAATGCTATGTATATAAGTTACGATTTTAGCCCAAACACCACTGACATTTAAGTCCTCAGAAAAATGAAGGTAAAAATTTGAGGTCTTGATACGGATAACAGGTTTTGTTAAAACCCACAAGCCAGGAACTGGGAAAACTGGTCCTGCTCCTACTTCCGGGTGTAACTTGGCATTTTGCCACTTGTGACATTTGGTTCAGTGGTAGAATGTGGGTGCTAGGCAGCAACCAAAGTCTTCTCAGAGTCACGGCTGCCGGCATGTGGGTCCCTCATTCCTTCCCTGAATGGGTTAAATAGATCCGAGCTGAATGCAGGTGAGCCACAGAATCTGGCTTCTCTCAGAGGAAAATCCAGGCAGCTGTGGAAATGTATAACACATGTGGTTATTTTTAGTTGAGAACTAGTCTACTTGTAAATGAACTTAAGATACAGCCAAGTTGTGGCGTCTTCGGAGCACCGTGTTGAGAGCAGGCGCGAGTCCTGTGTCCTTTGTCTCACTCTGTCATCCAGCCTCTTCAATTGAGAGCCTCTGCTGGGGAAGAAGATTTGGGCCACGAGGTGCCTCAGAGAAGTTCTGGTTTTCGAGAAAATGGTGAGTCTCTCAGAGAAGAGCCGGGCTGAGTCTGGCCCCGTCCTTGGTCATCTCAAAGCCATCCACACGGAAGCATTCAGTCACTCTCGGTGTGCGTTTTGGAGGATGCCCAGCTCCCCTCACACCAGCAGCCAGGCGCCAGCGGGGGCACCGTCAGGCCGACTTCCTGCTGCCTCCTCTCCCCTTTCTTCCTTCTCTTCAGAACCGCCACCATTAAAGAGCCAGCTTCCCATTTTCAGACAATTTCTCCAGTGCTCTCTGCTGGCCTAGTGAGCCACATGAGTTCATTCTGCCATTGAGGATTCCTTCTTGAGGTCCCTCTTCGTGAATGGTGGCTTGGGGTGGTAGCAGAGAAGCCGGAGAGGGGAGGCTCCTGGGCCTGCGGCTAGCTGCAGGCTCCTGAGAAGCCTGGGCCTCGGTTCCATTTCTACTTGGGAAGGGGTGCTGGTCAGACCAGACACTGTAGCAGGTCTGCTGTCTGAGGTCGGCCATCCGAGCATCAGCAATGGCCACCACCAGAGCTGGCAAGATGCTGCTGGCCTGGGGTCATCCATATCACTCCCCAGAAGCAGTCAGTACAAGGCCATGAGACCCTTGGAAGAACAGGGCCAAGTGTGAGAGCGGGAGCTCAGCTGATTAAAGGAAAGGCCTCGGGGACACCAGCGAAGTAGGAGGATGAACGTCTTTCCTTGGGTTGGCTTCCTTGAGGAAGAAGGACCCTGCTAGCCGAGGAATTAATCTAGAGACCAGGGAAGACTCCCTCACCTGGGGGTTTGTTACCAGGTCTGTTTGTAGCCATCTAGGAACGATCTGATACCAGTTGTTCGTGGGTAGGAAGGTGAATCTGGGGTTGGTGGCTGTTTTGTGGGACTGTTTTGTGGGACTGTTTGACACTCGGCTGCTGTGTCTTGAGGCTGCATTGCCCCTTCACCCTGGAGAAACCCAAGTGCTCACGGACATCTCCTTAGCTGCCTTGGTAGCGAACTCCATCATCATCACTCAGTGGATCAAAACCGCCTTCAGCCATGTGGCTTCCTCGCCACAGATTCCTTTTGGGTAACAGAAGTTCCGGCTCTCAGATGTAAAAAGCCATGCTAAGAAACAAACTGTAAGTGGTGAAGTCAATGTGGACACTTAGTTTAAAAGTATGTGTATGATTTTTCTCTCCTGTGTTCTAAAACTGTCATCAAGGCTTTGGGCCTCAGCGCTGTGGACCCCTCCTTCCTCTGGGCACAGAAGTGACTGGCGAGCTGGTCACGCTGGTTCTCCGCCTGCATCTTTGTCCAGAAGACACCACACACACACAGTGAGCGCGTGCTTTCATTCCTGGGTGAAGGAGCGCTGCATCATTTTATTGCAGTTTACACCTTGGACTCCAAGGCATCTGCTCATTCTCCGCAGGCCTTTGGTGTTGAAGGGAACCTGTGTTATCACTACTTCCCTGCCTGTTAGGACCACTGCCATTTTGATGTAGAGATGATTTTCAAGCTATTTAACAATTGGTACAGGGCAGACGCAAGCCACGCAGAGCAGATATCCTTTGTAAAATAGTAGCAGGCATTGCTGTTCAGTGCGTGGTGGATGAATGAATGCCTCGCTGCTCTCAAATCCTAAAATGACATCCTCTCAAATATAGGTATTGTTCCTGGTTTGGATGATCTCTGCACATGAGAGATCTCTGTTGTGTCTCAGCAGCAGCCCTGGCTTGCTCTCAGGGACTACACACTGGAACAGGCAGGTGTCACAGAAATCAGTGGGCTTTATAGTCTCTGTGAGCCAAATTCCAGAGCGCATCACTTCAGGACAGATCTAACAGTTGTAGCCCTTACCAGCTCAGAAGGATTCAGAAGCGGCCTATCAGTGGGAAAACGTTCTTGGTAACTTTCCACCCCTCCAGCTACTTCCTCGAACCTGTGTCTTCTCCATTGCGTTAGTCCCCTGGGAACACCCCCGTCTTTTTCCTCCTGTGTTCCCATGCAACCGTGTGTGTGTGTGTGTGTGTGTGTGTGTGTGTGTGTGTGTGTGTGTGTGTAGGGAAATTGGTGACTACTTCCTCCACTGCTCTGGCCTCAGTGCGCCTGAGAGGCGTGTAACAGTGAGGAGCCCATCCTGCAAGGAAGCCAGTGACAGTGTCCCCGAGGGAAATGCCTCTTTCCAAGCACTGGTTCTTGAGTTGCCCTCTACGTGTTTAGCTCCTGGAAGGTGGGGACTGCCTTTGTTAGCTCTGAGCAGCGCAGCTATGGGACCTCTGATTTTCTTTTCTCATGCCAACATTTGCTGGGACCAGAGAAGTGATCACCTCTTCTATGACAAGGGTAGCTTCTTGAGTGTTGCCAGCCAATGTCCTGACATCCTGGTGATGTCAACTGGTGATGTGAACAGAGTGAGTGGGGGGATGCTGAGGTTCAAGAACACGTTGGTAGTGAAGCCTTGACTCTGAAGGAAAAGATGTGGGTTTCCTAAGTGGCCAGGTTGCTTCCTGATGACTACCAGGGAAGGGCTGCTCTAGGAGAGGGTGAAGACCTGAAGAGATACACTGTGCAGTTGCCTGTGGTGTTTGGTTGTGTAATACACGTGCAACTTGGGAGGGGTCAGGAGGCTCTGGGCTTTGCCACTCACAGCCCCATCCCAGGTCTCCTTAATTCATAAAACTTGCCTTCATGGGGGAGGGAAAGTGAGCCATAGCTTCCCAAAGACAATGTGAATAGTTGTAATTTCTCTTTGTTGGTGATGGAACAGACTTTTAAATTACTTAAAAATGTTGAATAAAGATCTGGCATTGACTAAGTCCCTGACTTGCCCTCAGGCTGGGGTGCTGATGGCCGCAGCCTTCCAGTCTCCCCTCTGGAGAGTCAGTCCATGGTTTACGATCATCCAAAAAGGACAATTCATTCCACTTTCTCCTCCACCTGCTCAGCTCTCCAGACTCCCTTCTTAGTCAGGGAAGCGGTGATTGTCCTTGTGTCCTCTCTAGTGATCCTGAAGCACAGGGCTAGCTAGGATCTAGGCCCCAGGGTTTCCTTAGTCTTTAATGAGCATCAGAGACATCATGTCACACGTGTCCCCTCAGACTTTACAGTGTCTCTGAAGGTCTTTTGCAAGAGTGACAGTACCTCCTAGGAATTTTAATTTGACTTTAACTGTGTGTGTGAGGGTGTTTGCCTACATGTATGTCTTTGTACCATGTGTGTGCCTGGTGCTGAAGAGAACAGAGGGGGCACCGGATCTCCTACAATCGAATTTATAGACAGTTGTGAACTGCCATGTAGGTACTGGGCATTGAACCTGGGTCCATCTCTTAACTGTTGAACCATGTCCTCAGCTCCCAGGGCTCTGTGGGGTCGAGCCAGTTTGTCCCTCGTCTCTCCCAGACTCTCCTTCAAGTTTCCAAGCCCATCCTTGTTGGACATTCACAGGCCCTGCACTGAATTTTCTCCGCCATCTTGACTTTCTCTTGGTGGAAATCTTTTAGCCGGCCCTGGCTGGTCAGGTGAGACTTCACCCACGCTCTTGCCTGTTCTGCCTCAGCTTTCCAAGAACTCTCTCTCCTTCAGCTCTTCTGGCCATTGTTCAAGTTGCCTCTGAGGAAAGAGTCATAATCAGAGCTCCTGACAGCGCCACCAGTTGAGGTGGTGAGGGCTTTGAGTTCAGGGGCTGCTGACACCTCTCGGGCCTGGATGGTTATGTTCTGGACTGGATGGTTATGTTCTGGACTGGATGGTTATGTTCTGGACTGGATGGTTATGTTCGGGACTGGATGGTTATGTTCTGGACTGGATGGTTATGTTCTGGACTGGATGGTTATGTTCTGGACTGGATGGTTATGTTCGGGACTGGATGGTTATGCTCTGGACTGGATGGTTATGCTCTGACATGACATGTTGGGGAGGGACTAAGCATTTTTAAGCTCCCATGTTCATATGTATTGTTCTACATTCATTGTAAACAGAAAAACATTCAAAATTCAAACAGAAGCAAGTTTTCTGCTTTGACTATTTTTAAGTGACTCTTGGTGACCCCTCTGACACTCTTGCTCTGTGAGATGGTTTCTCACTGTGTAGACCAAGCTAGTCTTGAGCCTGCAGCTGATTTCCTGCCTCCCGAGTGCTGGGGTTCCAAGCATGTGCCACCATACTTGGCTTGCTCTTGGTCTCTCTTAGCATTAATTATAGAGAATGGATGGCTGACTCAGTTACATTTTTTTCTTCAGTTACCTTTTTTGTGGCCAGAAAGGAGGATAATTTTCATAAGCAAAGGAGGTGTGAAGTAACTATCGCTGTTTGGAGTGTGTGAGAGGAATGGCGTCTTTTCCATAGCCCTCAGAAGTGAGTCATCCATCCATAGGCATGATCCTTTGAGGAGATTCTGTGCTCAGTAGGAATGGAATGGTTTCGGGTCCTTCTGAAGAGAGAGGGAAGAGCACCCTCCCCCAAATCTAGCCCACGTCCCGCATTGCAAACACAGAGTGGTTTCCCGAGCTGATGTTTCTGAGCAGAGGGGGACCCACCCTGCTCCCCTCCCACACCCCTTCCTAAGCCCAGGAGCAGTTGGCTGGCTTGGGCATTGCTTACAGGCTCCGGGGTGAACTCGGCAGCAGGTTTTTACTTGTGTTGGGACCAGAAGCACTAACCTGAACGTGCAGTCACTCCTTCTGTGAGAGAAGCCACACTCCTTCCTGTCCCTCCCACTCCTGAGGTGCCAGGCCTCCCCTTGTCCCTTGTCTGTCACTGGTTAGAAGTGGCTGATGGCGTCTGGTGGAAAGCAGGACAACCTTCCACGGAAGGGGCAGCTTGAGGTGCTGGCACATCTCATTTTCTGTGTGTTTCTCTCTAGGTCTCATGTAGAGGCAGATATTTTTGTTTTAGAGATTCCAAAGTCTATATTTTTAGTGTAAGAAGTGTACCCTCTCCACACTCCACGGCGTAAATAGAACTGGGAATAAAATGTGTCATTGTGATTATCCCATAGCAATATGTGCTAAAAACAAGACCCCCTTCTGGTCTGTCTGTGACCCGGGCAGGTACCTGTGACAGTCTATCTCCAGCCCCCTGCCTGCCCACTCCGTGTGTGCTCACCTCTTTGGGTGACAAATAAAGTCTGTATAAACTGTTTGCTTCTGTGCTGTGTTGGGGCCTGTGTTCAGGTTGTGTGGAGAAGATTCCTGAAGGCGGCGAACAGGTGTGTGTGTGTGGGGGGGGTGTTTATCTGCCAAGGATGCTGCAGAAGGGCCTTGTAGCTCTTGTGTGCAGTCCTCCCTGGTGCAGTTCTGAGCAGAGCCCCTAGGCTGAGCTATGGCACGGGCTGCTGGGGCCTGTCTCTTAGGGTCAGCAGGAAAGGAAAAGGGGTGTTTTGAAGACAACCCTGGGCTATGGAGACCAATGTCTAAGCACTACCCAGTGCTTCAAAATACAGATGTTAGAATCTGGCTGTTAGAGGTTGGTTCTGGGAGAGTGGGGGCACTTGATCACTTTAACTCTCAAACTTCAGTTCAAGGCTTAGGGACAAGGGGAAGATGGACAGGGTGGAGTAGAAACAGAGCTGGGGGGGGGGAGCGTGGGGAGCCAGGCAGGATGCCCGACTGGATGACAAGAAAAGCATCCCGGGGAGCCTCCAGTGTGGATGTTCACAGAGGTGAGAGTCAGCATGCTGGACCTGCAGTCTGTAGGCCTGGGACTCACCAGCTCCCAGGCTTCGGCTGCCTTTGGCTGTTTGTTCAGCCCTTCCCGTGGGCGCACGCCCTCTGCCTACTTCCCAGAGGTGTGCCACGTGCGGTGCCAGTCCTGGGGAAGCTGCTGCTGTGGGCACAGGCAGCTCCGATGCCTCGAGCTCCAGGAGGGCGAGACACTGGAGCTCCAGAGGGCGTCGTCATCCCACACCCAGGGTTAAGGAGTCCATTAGCTGGTAAGTCAGGTGTCCTTAGGAAGCACCTGGCTCATAGCAGCGGGAGGAGCAGAGATAAACACAGAGGCCGAGGGTTCCTGGGCTAATTCAGCAGCGGCCGCATCAGGGTGCTGGCCGGTGTCTTCGCTGCATCTTCCTTTTCTAGGCTCCCGGTTACAAGATGGCTCCTGAAACTCTAGTAGAGTTACACTGGCCAGATCACTGCCACATGCACGAGAGGTGCTATTCCAGTCTCTCGCTCCCTCTCTCACCCTCTCCATCTCTCATTCATTAAATGGTGGGGAAGATCCCAGAAGCAGCCAACACAGCACTGGCCAGAGCTGGATCACACACCTGTCTCTTAAGGTGGGGAACAAGGATGCGCTTTGGGGTCAGCGCTCACTTCCCTGGTCATGTTCTGTCCTAACACCTGTACAAAATTCCGTAGCAAAGAATAAGCTGGTAGGAGCCTCTGGCATAGCTGGACCTCGCTGAAGAGAACAGCAGGAGCCCTCGGCGCCAAGGTCAGCTCCTCTCCACCCTGAGGAGATTTCCAGCCTCCCAGTATCCACACGCTGCTCCGCACGAAATGAACAGATGCTGGGGGGCACAGGCACCGGAACTCTCCAGGCGGTCCCGAGCGTCAGCTGCCAGAGCACCTCACCTTTGCTCAGTGTGGCTCAGTGCTGCCAGGCTTCACCTCCAGCTAGCTTGTTGCTTGTTCCCACCCAGTTCTAGAATGTTCCCCAGCATTTGAGCTCCTGCCCAGGCTCTCACAGCCTTACCACCTCCAGATCTCCCAGCTTCAGCCCCCACAGCTCCCAGCTTCACTTACAAAACGATTCCCAAGCCCGACAAAGCTGTGGGTCCCTCTTGTCATTTTTTTATTAGGCCACAGTGTAGGGCAGCTCAGGCAGGGGGAGAAAGGTGTGGGTGAAGCAGGTGTGGGTTGTTGAGAGTTGGATCGATGGCTGTGGAGCCTGCATGGGACTGGACTAGGCCCTCTGCATGGTGAGACGGTTGTGTAGCTTGATCTGCTTGAGGGACCCCCTGGCGGTAGGATCAGAATCCATCCCTGGCGCACGAGCGGGCTTTTTGGAGCCCACTACCTGTGGTGGGATGCATCAGGCAGCCTTGAGGCAGGGGAAGGGCCTGGACTTGCCTCTACTGGATGTGCCTCCCCATGGGAGGCCTTGCCTTCGTGTGGGTGGGAGTGGGTTTGGGTTGGGAGGGGGAGGCTGGGGGGCAGGAGGGGGGAAGAGGGGGAGCTTTGATTGGTGTGTAAAATGAATGAAAAAGTTTATTAATAAGAAAAAGAAAATTGGTGAAAAAAGAATAGGGTTGTGGTGCTGGAGAGACGGAGCACTGGCTGCCCTTCCTTGGGCCCACATGGCAGCTCCCAGCCATCTGTAACTCCAGTCCCAGGGGATCTGAAGCCCACTCTGGCCTCCCCAGGCACCGGGCACACCAGTGGTACACACACACACACACACACACACACACACACACACACACACACACACGCAGGCAAATGCCCACACACATAAATAAAAAATCAAATGGAAACAAACCAACAAACGTGGCTGGGAAGGACTGTGCTTGGGCAGGCAAGGGCCCAAGAGACACCTTAGCCATGGCTAAAGGCCATTCTTGGGGTTCCAGCTGGGACACAGCATTCCGTTCACAGTCAGCTGGGTTTAATTGCATGCAGGCACAAGCTTGCAGGACACTCCACTGCCCGCTTGTCCACCAAACATGCCATGGACGTTAACCCTCACTTTCTAGTCTTTCTGATGGAGGGAAGCACCTCCTGGGAGGCTGAAAATTGCTGCTGAGACCCCCAGGAGACACCTGGCCTGCAGCCTCCGTTCAGCAGCCAGCCTGCCTGAGGTCAAGCCCAGCTGTGTTTCTACAGCCAGTTGACCTTGGGTGGTTCACTCCAACTGTGCCTCAGTTTCTTCACCTGCAAAATGGGAAGATAATTTACAGAGCCATCAGTAGAGGCAGAGGGAGGGGGACAATGGGCACACCCCCTCTAGTCTGTGCCCCCCCAGCACACCCCCTCTAGTCTCAGTGTGCCCCCCAGCACCCCCTCTAGTCTGTGTGTCCCCCCAGCACACCCCCTCTAGTCTGTGTCCCCCAGCACACCCCCTCTAGTCTGTGTCCCCCCAGCACACCCCCTCTAGTCTGTGTCCCCAGCACCCCCTCTAGTCTGTGTCCC